AGAAGAAGAAGAAGAAGAAGAAGAAGAAGAAGAAGAAGAAGAAGAAGAAGAAGAAGAAGAAGAAGAAGACGATGAAGACGACGACGACGACGATGACGACGACGACGACGGAGAAGAAGACGACGGCGGAGAAGAAGACGACGACGAAGAAGAAGACGACGACGACGAAGAAGATGACGACAACGAAGAAGACGACGACGACGAAGAAGAAGAAGACGACGACGACGAAGAAGAAGACGACGACAAAGAAGAAGACGACAACGAAGAAGATGACAACGAAGAAGACGACGACGAAGAAGAAGAAGGAGAGGAAGAAGAAGATGACGACGAAGAAGAAGAAGACGAAGAAGGAGAAGGGAGAAGAAGGAGAAGGGAGAAGAAGGAGAAGGGAGAAGGAGAAGGGAGAAGAAGAAGGAGGGAGAAGAAGGAGGGAGAAGAAGAAGGAAGAAGAAGAAGTAGTAGTAGTAGTAGAAGAAGAAGAAGAAGAAGAAGAAGAAGAAGAAGAAGAAGAAGAAGAAGAAGAAGAAGAAAGGCCCTCATACTTTACTGGAAACTCACTAACGCCGATCGCAGTCTTTGAATCTGATCGGGATTCAGATTCAAAGACTGCCACCCAATGCTCATGAGTTTGCACTGAAGTACGAGAAGACCTACAAAATCAGTGAGAACCTAGGTAGAACCCACCCTTACACGTACGCAGGGAGTACATGTAGGTGCTCAAAATCCCGCGTATGCATACATGTAAAAAAAAAAAGAAAAAAGAAAAAAAAGAAACCTGAAAAAAGCATGTTATGTCAGTTATGTTATGACAGTTATGCAGAACAATAATATAAACAACTTTCGCCTCGGACTCATGTCGGAATACCTAACCAAACTCGAGCTAAACGTGAAATGTGAGTACATACTCTGAAGAGAGTACGTACTCGAACCCCGTGTACATGTCTGCAATGCTACACAGATGAGAACATCAGGCATGCCCACTTTAAGACGGTAGAGCAGGGAAACAAGCACCACATACCATCACGTTTTACAGTTGGTGCTCTAGTCTGGGTGACATCTAAACAGTTCATAGTACGAACAAGGTATTTCTCAGAAGCTGGTACCTGCGTACGGAGGCCCGCAGGAACACGTGATAGGAGATGCTGACGGTCCGTCATACCAGTGATGCCCCCCTGCATATGTGAGCCTATCCCGTATTCCATTCAAGTTGTTGCCAGTCGACTCTCATAAGTCCTTCCTTTCCTCCAGATCAATGAAGAATCCAGCTGACATGGATGGGACCTACGACATTGACCACATCGTTGATCTATATTTTGGCCTTCAATCTGGGGTAACCACCACCACTACCTCCTGAGAAATCAAAGCCAACCCCTGTAGACAGGAAAAGAAACCTATCGGAGGCATATATCACTCCAACAGAGCAACTGACAAAGAGCTGGTCAACTGCGGTTAACCATGGCGGCTGTAGAAGTTAGTGGCGGTTTATCCCTGAAAAACACAGGGTTGCTACCAAAAAGCGCTACTTTCAAAGTTGTCTTGTCATACATTTAATTGAGGGGTTTTAAGTTTTAACTTTTAACAGCAAAAAAAAACAAAAAACATAAACACATGTTACACAGCAGAGAGGGCACCAATTCCAACGAGCTTAACCAGGATTGCTAAACCACAACACTATTTTTGAAGTTTTGACAAATCCAATTCAGAGAGTAGAACAGAGAGAGCACTGATTTTAACAAACATGGAACAGAAGACTGTACAAACAGTAAATGTGACAACAATGTCAGGACTCAGGCTCAGGAAAAACCTGTCATATTGACTTGTCAAAAGATCCTTGAGAAGGGGTAGAAGCAATGCACAAATCTCCAGTGTGAAGATCTCAGACTTATCCATGCAAGCGCTGAGGACATCCACCAAAACCTGCACCAAATTATAACAAGCCACCATCCAGTATGTGTTATGCAATGGACGGACCGAGAAGACCAGGCCCGTGGAACAAAGATCAGAGAATGAAGTTCAAGGAACACGATTGCATCGAAAAGATGCGACGTTCGAAGACAGCCAAACGGTAGATTAGAGTCCACATCGAGAACAAAAGTGGAAAGGTTAACAGCTTAGTAAGTAATAGTATCCAATGCTTACCGANGAATGGTTGGACATTTTCGAAGACAGCCAAACGGTAGATTAGAGTCCACATCGAGAACAAAAGTGGAAAGGTTAACAGCTTAGTAAGTAATAGTAACCAATGCTTACCGAATGGTTGGACATTTTCGCGAGCGCCAAGACAACACCTCTCACGTTGTTCTTAACCCAGAACGTGCGCACAACCTGCCAGCACAGGCAAACAAGTATGTCAGAGGGGTTAACTAGGGGTGTGTAGAGCATGTCACGGAGTCTACAATGCTTGTCACATATGTACTCCTGCCGTGACACTCGTCACTGCTCTTGCACATCATTCTGTAACAGCACAACTCCAGTCTGGCACACCACCCTCCAAAAGTGGCCTGCACAATCGTCAACATCCCTCAACACTGCCCATTGCAATCACTGGCGGACTGTGGCACACCTATCAACTCAGCAACCAAGGAATCACCGGAGTCTTGAGAAACAACACTGTGAGCAGCGGAAGACTGAAAAGCACCAGTCTGACTCATCTGACTCTGCACATGACACACAAATGCATCACCACACATGAGATGGCAAGGCCGGTACATATGTGGAGGAAGATACCGCCTTGGCCCACACAGATGGGGAGATAACCACAGATGATGGAGGTGAGGGATGAGACGAAAGTGGGAGGAGCAGGAGCAGAAGCAGAAGAAGCAGAAGAAGCAGAAGAAGCAGAAGAAGCAGAAGAAGCAGAAGAAGCAGAAGAAGCAGAAGAAGAAGCAGAACAGAATCAGAATCAGAACAGGACGAAGAAAGAGGAGGAGGAGGAGGAGGAGGAGATGAAGGAGAAGGAGAAGGAAGAAGAAGAAGAAGGGAGAAGGAAGAAGAAGACGGAAAAGAAGGGAGAAGAATAAGGACGAAGAAGAAGGAGAAGAAGAAGAAGAAGGAGAAGAAGGAGGAGAAGAAGGTGAAGGAGAAGAAGAAGAAGAAGGAGAAGAAGAAGAAGGAGAAGAAGAAGGTGAAGGAGAAGAAGGAGAAGGAGAAGGAAGAAGGAGAACGAGGAGGAGGAGGAGGAGGAGGAGGAGGAGAAGGAGGAGGAGGAGAAGGAGGAGGAGAAGAAGGAGGAGGANAGGAGGAGGAGGAGGAGAAGGAGGAGGAGGAGAAGGAGGAGGAGAAGAAGGAGGGAGGAGCAGAAGGGAAGACGAAGGAGCAGGAGGAGGAGGAGGAGGAGGAGAAGAAGGAGAAGGAGAAGGAGAAGGAGAAGGAGAAGGAGGAGAAGGAGAAGAAGGAGAAGGAGAAGGAGAAGAAGGAGAAGGAGAAGAAGAAGGAGAAGAAGAAGGAGAAGAAGAAGAAGAAGGAGAAGAAGAAGAAGAAGAAGAAGAAGAAGAAGAAGAAGAAGAAGAAGAAGAAGAAGAAGAAGAAGAACGAGAAGGAGAAGAAGAAGAAGAAGAAGAAGAAGAAGAAGAAGAAGAAGAAGAAGAGGAAGAAAGGTCCTGGATGCAGGCCGCAGTGAAGGTCCACTAACTACGCCAAAAGCATGGATGCAGGCCGCGGGGAAGGTCCACTAACTACGCCAAAAACATGGCCTGCCTGGGTCCCAACCGGACATCCAGGCATCCTGCTGTGTCACCAGGACTGTCCTACAAGCGGACAAACGGCACATTGTTGTCACACTTACTGCCATCATTGTCGTTGTTTTGACTCCAAAGTTCGGCATAAAAATTACCATTAGCACTCCTTACATCACTACTTATCATCACCAGTATGGCAACACAAGGCTAGCAGAGGGAAAGCACATCATTGTCATATTTACTTCCATGAACCATCACCATTGTGGTGATTTCCTTTTCAGAGTTTAGCATAATAATCATCATTATCCAATATCTGCTCAAAACCACTAAGTGATCCCATCATCATTCTCCGCCTCTTCTTCTTCCTCCTCCTCCTCTTCTTCTTCCTCCTCCCTCCACCTCGTCATCAGCATGGCCACTGCCACAGTCTGTTCCTGTTGTCAATATCATCATCACATTCTGAAGCAAAAACTGGCAATTACCAGATTTCACATCACGGGCAGATTGATATAAAATTATAAATAATCTGGTGCCTTAAAAAATGGACCATTTCTCGATTTATGAGTGTCTTCCTTGCGCAGGGGCAATGCCAATCTTCTCTGTATCGTTCCAATTTTAACGGATGTCCCGAGGGACAAGGAGCTGCAAATCCTACATAAACTAACTTACACTATATTGTCCCATATCCATCAACTAAAAGACTGCAAATCCTACATAAACTAACTTACACTATATATTGTCCCATATCTATCAACTAAAAGAGTGCACTTTGAGAAACGAATGACGCTTGTAGCTTAGTCGTACATTGCAATGAGAAACTCCCGAGTCCACAGGGATTACAAAAGCAGCACGAGAAAAGAAGCATAGCAAGAGACAGGTAATCAAGAAAGACAGTACATATTGGTGCTGACGACACATACTGTGACCCTTCACCTCATTATCCTCCCTTCTCACTTTTTCAGAGTTTTTCTACAGCATAGTGAAACATCCCAATAAGAGGAACAGAGTAGATATGAAGAATGCGCAGCCAGAAGATCCATATGACAATAAAATTTGATGGCAGCAAGAAGAGCAACATGGAAGGAAAGAGGACGGATAACAACCAGGGGGAAAGAGTGGAAATAGGAAGAAGAGGAGAAAGGAAGGGAAAGGGGAAAGAGAGAAGAAGTAGGAAGAAAGAGAGGAGACAAGAAGAAAGAAGATGCAGGGAAGAGAGAGAGAACACAAGAAGAAGGAAGGAGAGATGGGAGGATGAAGAAGAAAGATACCAAACCTCGCCATCCACCCATTACACTTTTGGACACCTCCACTACAACTATGGTCGTATGCCGACGACTGGTCGCCTCCCTACGACCCGGCAAGACGATGACACTAAACGACAAATCAGTTCACACCATACACAGCCTTACGGGCTGCGAACATTGGGCGATTCTACCTTGACCATTGGAGACTACCTATCTATTATCCCTGAGGTTGTGGAACGGAATCGAGAGGGGACTGGAAGATGCACCCAGACTGGAGGGAAAGACTACAGTAAGCCTTCACTTTGCAATGCCTGGTAAATGGGTTAATTGCTCAGATGAAATACGATTAGCTCCTCTACAGAACGTCCTCCCCTCCCCGACCACAATGATAGGACTGTAGAGAACCCAGAACAAGAAGACAATGAAGGAAGAGCTGTGGAACAATTAGTCTATTGTTAACAAGGGTTCAACACCAACAGTGGTTGGAAAAGGGCACCTTCAGCTAAAAGATCTGTGGACTGCAGACTGTTCTTGGTTTGGTTTATTTGAATCTTCTGACAGCCCGTAGCCATGGGCTGAGAAGAGCGGTATAGCATTGATCTTTGGGCATGTTTATTTGGGAAGGGTAGGAAGGTAATTGGGAAGGGAATGAAATGATTTTTGGGCGTCAAAGGTCCCCCATGGGAACCAGGGGAAGCGTGCGGTGGACATAATTGTGAAATTTGGGACGGGTAGGAAGGTAATTGGGAAGGGATTGAAATTATTTTTGGGCGTATGCAGCAGTTAATCCTCCCTTGTGGGAGTAATCAATGATGTCAAAGGTT